AAACTTGACCAATAAGAAAACAGGTCAAAGAGAGACTGTTGGTGTTCGAACACCGCTGTCTGCATAGAATTGCACGTGTCTAGTGGGGTAAACGGACTAGGCATGCTGAGGCGAGGTGTAGAGTTTTAGGTCATCGCGGTGGTCCACTGGAACAGGTAGTCAACCTTGATAGATTACGTTGGTTGGAGGCATGTGTTACGCATGTCACCAGTTAGGTTGCCACGGCGAGCGATGTTTGCCGAGGCAGGTAGCGATTGAAAAAAGGATTAAGGAAGGTCAAACGAAAACCTGACATGAGGGTATGAAAACCCTAACCGGGTGACTAGGTCACATAGGTCCCGTTAGGCTCCCTGGATGGAGACCACGAGATGATGGTCACCGATGATTAGAGACACTGTGTGATGTGGTTGGGTGTCGCAAACAGTGGCGCTCATGCATCTACTCATTATTCCTGTCACTTCATTCTATATAAATTCACTCTCTTTCGCTTGAATTTGCTCTCAATATTCCAATCTTCATTCTACTGTTTTATCCGATGTGGGTAACCAAAATTAGGGCAACCAAAACCGGCACACGAAATTACATGGTTAATGGTTGTAAGAACTAAACTGAACTCTTTGGCTGGGCAGAGCCAGTGTTTACGACACTCATTTATATCACTCAGTTCTTAATCATTGGTCACGTGGATTCCATGATCCCTATCCGGGAAGCCTAACGCAACCGATATGACCGAGTTTAATGCTTAGGAAGTTTTATTCTTTCTATCGCACATTTCAGATTGCTAATTCTTGACCTTCCAGTCCGTTTTCGAAAATATCGCGCACCGATACACACTCCATCTGATGACATGAGTAACACCTGTCCAGCTAACACAGTTTGCTCTAATGGGCCACTGAGATCACCTGGGACTCTGCGCTTAATCTCAGAATTGTTTGCCCGGTTTATCCACCAGAAACGAAGAACCCGACAGCGGTAGTCGAACGAGTAAAGAAAAAAAATAGTAAGAAGCTAAGTGTACCACAGGCATATTGAAAGCAATTGCACTCGACGACAGTTTGGCAAACGAGTAGATGAACTAGTACCATCGTTTACAACACTTAGCCGCATCATCCAGTGCCCTACAGCATTGAATGAATTCACCACAAGGTCACAGATAGTCAAGTGTGATTGAGTCTACTATAACCAGGCCAATCATCTACTCAAGTTTATCATTTCTTGACCCCAATAGGTCTTTTTCAACAGAAGGGTTAGGCACCGAGGTGATGGGGACTTCTCTTTCGGTCATTTAGGCCGGTAAAGTAAAGTCTAAGACACGAAGTGATGATGATCTATGGGGGGCCGGGGAGGGATATAGCATAGCTTAACAACAAAGCTATTTATTAGCAAAAAAAATTCCAAGTGAGAATATCACGATTTGCAAATCGATTCGGACCGAGTATCTTAAATTTGAACTGTTTAAATAACCGATGCCCACGAACTGATAAACTGCTTC